CCTGCAGGTCGACTCTAGAGGATCCCCGGCCCGCCCACCAGCGTCGCAGGTAGAGGGGAGACGGAGGCCATCTCTTCTTTAAAGGCGCATATCTCAAAAACTACACTAGCTAGAGAAAATTGTCAACAACAAAAGTATGTAAAATTTTGCCAGTTTACAACTTTTTCAAGCTACTGTATTTTTTGAGATATGCGCCTTTAAAGAAGAGATGGCCACCGTCTCCCCTCTACCTGCGACGCTGGTGGGCGGGCCAACTTTGAAGGCACATATCTCAAAAACTACAATAGCTAGAAAAAAATTGTCAACTACGGAAATGTGTAAAATTTTATTATAAACATTTTTGTAATTAACAAAAAATGTCTAAATCTTCTAGTTTTTGAGATATGCTCCTTTAAAAAGAGCTATCCCCTAGAACCCATAAAGATTGCCCCACCACTTTTCACAAAAAAAACCTCATTGGTCGTTATGAGATCCTCAAGAATATCCAGCTTTTCCCATCGACCGGCCGTGAATTTCAGCTTTTGAAAAATCGTAGGCTCCATCGTGATGCCAATTCGATACATTTGGTGCTCAATGAGCCCCTTGAACGCGAATTCCAGGATGGGGAAGAGATTTCTGTAATGTACACAGTATACTTATTGGAAAGAAAATTGATTTTAAAAAATTAGAATTACCTTCCAATCTTGGTTATAATCATTTCGTTCCGATGGTCGTCAAACTCCTTCCAGAGAGCCTTCTCCATCAGTGCCACGTGGATTTGGGTATGCATCATTTTGAGGGGAAACAACGAGATCACAAAGAGAATGGACCTGACTAACTATATATTATAGGGTCCATGGACCATGTGAGAATGGATGAAGGGGGCGGAGCCACGAACATTCGCACCTCTAATGGAACATCTAGTTAGGAGACGGACCATGCTCCTGGGAATCCAGGTATTAAGGGGATACCAGATGACTTTGAGAATTAATAAGATGAGTTTTTGACTGATTTGTTTTTTTTTTTTGAGAGGAGGAATCAAGCTGGAACTGTCCGAAACATCCCTAGCGACTCTTTCGCCCTTGTTAAAAGGCTATCATAGTTTTAAAGGCGCATAGCTCGAAAACCAAAAGAGCTACAAAAAAGTTGTCAACTACGAAAATGTAGGAAATTTTGTTTTGTATATTTTGATAATTAACGTTTTTCAATAAACTTATTTGGTTTCTGAGATATGCGCCTTTAAGGAGAGCACACTTTTGAGCCTCGTCAGAAGGGCGCCATAACTTTAAAGACCCATATTTCTATAACCAAGGGAGCTACAAAAAAGTTATCTAGAGGAGAAAAGTAGGAAATCAAAATTTGTATATTTGCCTAGTAATTTTTTTTTTGAGGTAACTCTTTTGATTTCTGAGATATGCACCTTTAAATATAGTACACCTTTGTCCCCTTGTTAAACGGGCGTCATTATTTTGAAGACGCACATCTCAAAGACCAAGAGAGCTATTAAAAAATTTTCAACTACAAAAATGAATTTCTATTTCAGTTTTCTATGTTTTTGACCAATACCGTCGATTTTAAGCTATTTGACATATTCTCCAAGATGTTATTAATTTGAAATGAATTTTCAACTCACAAATGAGTATAAAACTTTATTAATGTTGCGAAATATCCAGTTAAGAGCATATGATAAAAGAGAAAAGTGTTGATACAACAGACAAAGTATACAAATCATTCATGAAAAATGAGCAATTTAGCGTCCCCATCCGTATCCACCGTATCCTCCCCATCCGCCCATGCCCATTCCCCATGGACGGCGCCATCCCATACCCCACGGGCGTCTCCATCCCATTCCACCCCATGGGCGGCCCCATCCCCAGCCACCCCATCGTTTCGATCTATCGTGATGTTGGTCCGAGGAGGCTCTGAAAAGAAGAAATTTTGAATAGAAGTTTTAGTTTATTGGAACTAATTGAGGATGGAAAATCAGGTTCAAACTAGGTTTTAAGCTAATTCAGCTCTCAAAAAGCTCAAGAAACCCCCTAAAATGTTACTAAAATTTTGTATACACCGGACCCTCTTTTAAGCTCCTTTCCTTCCCCTCTCCATCTCTTTTCCTCCTCTTCTCTCCCGCTCTCTCTCCCCCGTCGCCTCTAGTTTCCCCCTCTTTCCTCTACCACTTTCACCCCCCAAGTAAAACAAGCTGTTCTGGCCGAGTGGTCTAAGGCGCTGCGTTCAGGTCGCAGTCCTCTCAGGAGGGCGCAGGTTCGAACCCTGCGGACAGCAAATCTTTTTGGTTTTTTTGCACTTACCCTTCAACACCACCAGTTCCATCCTTTGCTACTCCAAATGGTCCATCATGGGGGCTCCATGCATCTCTCTCCTGCACTAAATGATGATCATCCTTGGGACTCGGGGCCGAGAATACGGTAGCAATTAGCGCTACAAAAGCGATTAGAATTATCAGTCTCATCTTGTTTCGACTTGTATGGCTCTCTTCCCTCCATTTTTATACGGGATGAAAATCAAAAAACCAGATGGTTCTTTCTCGACGAAAAAAAAACAACAACACGAGACATTTTGAGGATCAGGTAATTAGTCTCTTCTAATTAGGGACACAACTCTCAACATGACGTGATTTTTCGCCTTTTTCGCGATTTGCATGCGCCAGACGGACTGAATTCGTCAAATTTCAGTTGGATTCGGATGACATTTTTGTGTATTTACGAAGCAACCAAAAAAAGGACAGAAATCAGAACATAAACTATGTGGTTAATTGATCAGATAACTGGTTTTTTTGGATTCGATGGTCAGGGATTTTTGATATTAGGGGGAGGAGGGAAGTGGACAAGGAACTAGAAGACAGAACTTTGACATAAGGTTTTGTAGCTTGGTGTTTTCAATTGTTGTAAAATGAAAATAAAAGAATAACGGTAGGAATTGAACCAAGGCACTTGAAGGTGCTTCGGCGCTACCGGCTGATTCAAAAGCTCCATTAATCGACTTCATTTTTTTATCTCGGTTCTTGTGACAGATGTCAAAATACTGTCAACTGATAAAATATTGCTGATATTATGATAAACATTTTATCAGTTAAAACTTTTTTGATATCTTTTACAGAAATCGAGATAATTGAGCTCAAAATTGACGGAGGAAGAGTGTTTTGATGCCAATAATAGCTAGTAACTCTTTGGACCAGTTGATCCCTAAAAAATTTGAATTTTTAAAGAAAGTTATATACTCTTGTAGCTGGAAATTCGAGTAGTATTTTGACATAAACCATCGTTTTGAAAAAAATTGTTTTTCACGAAAATTTGATAATTTGAAAACCACAAGATTGCAGTCTTCGCTCTACTGAAGCCTACTTTCAGCTCAATTATCTCGGTTTCTATTAGAGGTATCAAAAAGTTGTCAACTGATAAAATATTGATGATGTTATGATAAGTATTTTAGTAGTGGACAACATTTTGTAATCTCTCACTTGAACCGAGATAATAGAGCTCAGATTTCATGTATAGGGTGGGCTTCTATTAGAGTCTTACTGAAAATCCACTGTATCGTCACTGTAGCTTTCTGGAATGTTTTGAGGTTTAGGCGGTCTAAATGAATATAATTTTGAAAACTTAGAGGCTTCAGAAGAATCAATTTTCAGAAAGTTCCGTTTTCTTCCACAACTAAATGAAAATCGAACTTGCCGCGCGCCATGCCATAGTTTCTTTCAGGATCAATGTTTTTAAACGAAGTGAATCAGATATGATAGAACTTGACGAGTACTACAAAATGATATTTTTTAGAAAGCTGTATCTCGCCTATGGCTGAAGTTATGAGTAGTAAGGTGGCTGATGCATCCCAGGCCGGACATTGCCTAGGTAGTTTTGCCTGTACCTTTGTTCATATCCTAGATACAGTTTTTCAAATAATGTCATTTTGTAGTACTCGTCAAGTTCCATCATTTTTGATTTAGTTAGTCTGAAGATATTGATTCTATAAGAAACAATGTGGTTCAGAAAGTCTAATGAAAACTTGTTTCCAAAACTAGAAACTCGAAACTACTGTCCAAGAGGAATACACTCTCACTTTTTCAGAAAGTTTCTAGAAGCCTCTTGGACTAGTTCCAGACCATTGTTCTTTGTTCTCAATAGTCCTATATAAGCAAATTTCGAAAGTTCCAGCATACATTCCCTTTGAACCCAATAATGAACATTTCCTCCACTATTTTTTTCTATTTCGCCATTCTTGTCGCCGGAATCTTTGGCGTAGAATACGGAGAAATTGAGTATCAGTAAGTTTTAGGGATATGAAAACGCTAACTATAAGTTTTCAGCCGAATCGAAAAGCGGCAATTCAATTTTGGCCAATGGGGCAGAAATATGGGACAGCGAGGCGAGAACTATGGAAGAGATTGGGGACGACAATGGTGATAATTTTTTTGCTGAAATTTTCTAGAATAAAGGTACCAGATTTAAAAAAATTCAATTTTATTTCTTCATTTCCTTCCATAATAATAATTAGAAGAACATCCATAATAGGAACCATAATAGTAGTTATTTTGGCAATTGTTGTATCCATAGTTGTTGTTGTTGTAGCCATAGCTACCGTAACCATACCCATAATAACTTGGACTACTGTAATAGCTACTGTAGTAGCTGGGACTACTGTATGAAGTACTACTGTAGTCCGTATAATAACTGGGACTACTGTAGTAGGAGTAAGAATGGATGGGGCTGGAATAGAAATAATGATGGTGGTGATGGGATCCACTATCCGAGTAAGAGTGGGTGTGTCCACTTGAAGTATGTGATGATGATGATCCAGTGTCGCTGTGGCTGTGACTGTGACGAGCTAAGCGAGGTTTCCTGAAATTTTTGCTATTGTTTTAAAAGGCAGATCCAGATAGAGTATGAAAAACCAAAAATATTAGTAAAAGTTTCATCTTTCTAGTACATCTGGAAGCCGAGATACAGCTATTCGAAGTTTTGAGAGCGAGATATAGTGGAGGAAGAGGAGACGCAGACAGCTAGAGTGTCTCGTCGTCTGCGCCCTCTCACTGTAAAACTTCAAACGCCTGTAACTTGGGTTCTAGAAGAGCTAGAAAGTTGGTTTCCTCACGAAAATGGTCAAATTTTGCAAAGTTTTCGATGTACAAGGTTTTCAATCAAAAAACTGATAACGAATTTTTTGCATTAGCTGATAAATTTAATAATTTTAATTCCTTATGAAAAACTGAAAAGAATGGTTTAGTTTTCATGTTTCTAGCACCACTAGTAGCTGAGATACACCCATTTGAAGGTTTGACGGCGAGAGACACAGAGGAAAAGGGGGAGACGCAGACAATTAGAGTGTATTGTCGTCCGCACTCTCTCACTGTAAAACTTCAAATGGCTGTAACTCGGGTTCTAGAAGAGCTGGAGAGTTGGTTTTTTGACCAATAGCCTTCTAAAAAAAATCTCCTTCCTTGGAATTACAAATGTTTTCAAAATTCAACTCACGCCTCCTTTCCACTATAATTTCCATCAATCACTGTCACCTCCTGAGATGTTCCAATTCTTTCGATAACCGCATTTTCTTCAATTTTCGAGACATTTGAGGAATTTTCAGCAGGAAATCCAAAAGCTGGAAGAGCAGAAAACACCAGGAGAGCGACTAGAAATTTCAGCATTTTTCAGTTTTTTTAGAATATCGAATTCTGTTGATTCTGAGTTTTTATAGTATGATCACACCCTGTTCATTCAGCCAACTTGACCAGATTTCTGCATTTTTTTTTTGGGATTTGACGGACGAATTTTCAGATGTTTGCTGCAATTTTGAGGACACTTGAACTGAATAAATTTATTGAAAAATTTCAGAAAAAATCATTTTTGCACCCAGGATTATTTTTTATCAGTTGTTTTTTCTTTTCTAAACAATGATAGAGACCAAATTTCACCAAAAAAAAACAGGAAATAATTAAAGCGAAAATTAGGAACAAAATGGAACAAGAAACAGAACACTACAAAAAATGTATAAAATTGTCTGAAACAACAAAGGAAAAATCTAAAAATCATGAAAACACAACTCGTCCTGGTGATCTTGTTGATTTTTATTTTAGGATTGTCTTCAGAGAGTTCTGTATCATACAATTCTGAAACTTCGGAAAATGTGTTATCGGATAACATAATAGAAAAAGTTGGGAACTCTGAAGTGGAGGTGATTGATGGGAATTACAGTGGAAATCAGACGTAAGTTTTTTTTGGAATTTCAAATGTTTTCGTTTTGTCTGAAAAGGATAATTTGAAAACATAATTAAAGAAAAAACCAACATTCTAGCACTTCTAGAACCCAAGTTACAGCCAATTGAATCCCAACGACTCGAGAAAGTGAGAGAGCGCAGACGACGAGACACTCTAACTATCTGTGTCTCTAAGCCTCTAAACTTCATATGCCTGTATTTCGGCTCCCAATTAAGCTAGAGAGTTGAAACCTGAACCGTTCTCCGTAGTTTTTGTGAGAAATTGGATTTTATAAAATCTAACATTTTTGCAAGGACTTCAAAGTTCGAAATTTGCATAATTTTGGTGGAAAACGATCCGTAATGAAAACAATACAAAATTTAATTATTTCTGTGAAGAAACCTACTTTCTAGCTTTTTCAGAACCAAAGTTACAGGCTTTTAAAGTTTAGAGAGAGAGAGGAAAGAGTGCAGACAACAAGACGCACTAGCTGTCTGTGTCTCTCAGCCTCCACATTTCAAATGCCTGTATCTCGGCTCCTAGGGGCGCTAGAATTATGAAACTTTCACTAAACCTTTAGTTTTTCCTACTTTCTCTGATTTCATTAACCCCCAAATGTTTTTTTTTTTCAGAAAAATCCGAACCGCTCGAAGATATTATGGTGGTCGTGGCTGGAGACGTCGATATTATGGAGGATGGGGAAGACGAAGATACTATTCGTTTTACCGTCCAAGATACTATTATTATGGCGGATATTACGGTAGCTATGGATATGGTTATGGATACGGATATGGATACTACAGTTACTACTATAAAGCTTAATAATTTAAAACTATTTATTATTGTGATACTGATAAACTTTGATTTCAAAATAAAACAAGGATCACAGTCTCTAGTCTTTGACCGGAAACTTTTTTGTTTTTACTTAGTTACATTTTTTACTCCTCATGTTAAAATCCGTCAAATACATAGTAGTAGTTTTTGCGACTATTCCTTAAACATGAAATGGAACAAAACAATATATAAAGGCACAATGGAATTCTACAAAAAACTGAAAAATGCTGAAATTTCTAGTCGCTCTCCAGGTGCTTTTTGCTTTACCAGCTTTTGGATTTCCTGCTGAAAAGTCCTCTAATGTCTCGAGAACTGAAGAAAATGCTGTTATTGAAAAAATTGGAACATCTCAGGAGGTGACAGTGATTGATGGAAATTATAGTGGGAATGAGACGTAAGCTGACTTTCAAACTATCCAAATTACAAAAAAACCAATTCCCTAGCTCATCTAGAACCCAAGTGACAGTCATTTGAAGTTTTACAGTGATAGAGTGCAGACGACGAGACACTCTAATTGTCTGCGTCTCTTCCTCCCACACTCTCTTGCCTTCACTTTAAATGACTGTATCTCAGCTCCCAGAGGGCCTTAAACCCTGAGACTTTTACGTTTTTCCAAGAATTTTTATGCAAAATCTGATTTTTCCACAATCAGCTCAAAAACTCAGTTAACTAGTAACCAAAAATTACAAAAGTTTTTCAAATAGCTTTATGTTGAAAAAGCTTACAAAATTTAATACTTTCTGCCAGAAAACCAACTCTCTAGCTCATCTAGAACTCAAGTTACAGCCATTTGAAGTTTTACAGAGAGAGAGACAACGTGACACTCTAACTGTCTGCGTCTCCTCCTCCCCCTCTCTCTTGAGTGTAAAATTTCAACTGACCGTATTTCAGCTCCCAGTGCGCCTAGAACCATGAAACTTTTACCAATTTGTATGATTTTTCCTTCTAGAAATCTGAATTTCAGAAACATTCGCACCGCTCGAAAATCCTATGGTGGTGGAAGCCGTTCTTCTTCTTCTTCTCGTAGCTACTCCTCTTCAGGATCTCGCAGTTACAGTAGTATTGGAAGATTCAGAAGCTATTCAAGATTCGGAAGTTCTTCCTCATCGTATAGTCCTAGCTACTACTCGTCATACTCTTCATACTACAGTAGTCCGAGCTACTACTCATATTACAGTCCGAGCTATTATGGAAGCTACTATGGATACGGTAATTATGGCTACAGTAATTATGGCTACAGTAACTATGGATATGGCTACAACAACAACAACTATTATGGTTATAACAATTGTCAGAATAACTACTATTATGGTTCCTATTATGGATGTTCTTCTAGTAGCAGTTATTATAAAGCCAAATAAAATTTTTTTCTGAAGAAATAAAGTTTTAAATTTCAAATAGGAATTGTCCGAAAAAATACGCAAAAAAATGGAGAAAAATTTAGGTTTCTAGACCTACTGGGAGCCGAGATACAGCCTATTTAAGTTGGAAGAGACGCAGACAGCTAGAGCGCCTCGTTGTCTGCGCTCTCTCACTCTCTCGCCTCTCTAAACTTCAAATGCCTGTAACTCGTGTTCTAGAAGAGCTAGAAATTTGGTTCTTTTTGTAAAATATTTGTATTATTTTGATTTTCAGTTTGAAAACAAAATTTCACAAGTTTTCTGAATTTTGTGCAAGTAGCCATATTTTAGAATTCCCTAAACTGATGCAACAATCAAAAACACATGTATCTCTCTCTCTCTCTCCCTCTGTCTTTCCAAAACTGGAACAGGAATTATTGTTGGGTCTCCGTGATAGTGATAGTAACCAAACAATATATAAAAGGTGATCTAAATTGAAAAACGAAAAACGAAACAATAAAGAATGCTGATAATTTTTATTCTTCTAATTCTTCCTCTTTTGGTTTTTGGATTTCCAGTCAAAAACTCAGAAAATTCCACGTCCTACACTGCTGAAATTATTGAAAATGTGTTATCCGATAATATAACAGAGAAAATTGGGAATTCGAGAGAGGAGGTGGAAGTGATTGATGGGAATTACAGTGGAAATGAGACGTAAGTTTTTGAGAAAAACATCATCTTTGGCTTTTTCTGAAAAAAAGATCATTTGAAAGTTAATTTGTTGAAGAAACCAACTTTCTTGCTCTTCTAGAACGCAAGTTACAGGCGTTTGAAGTTTACAGAGAGGGAGAGGGCGCAGACAACGAGACACTCTAGCTGCCTGCGTCTCTCACCCTTATCACTTAAAATGCCTGTATCTCGGCTCCCAGTAGCGCTAGAGAGACGAAAATTTGACCACTTTGTGGAACTTTTCATGAGAAATCACAAATTTTAAAGTTAAAGTCAAAATCTAGGTAATTCAAAATATTAAGTTTGAAAAGTTCTTGTTGAAAATGGTCTATAGTGAAAACCGTTCAAAATTTAATCTTTCTGTGAAGAAACCAACTTTCTAGCTCTACTAGAACCCAAGTTATAGCCCTTTGAAGTTTATGGGTGCGAGAGAGTGGGAGACCCAGACAACGGGATACTCTAACTGTCTGCGTCTCCCCTCAAAACTTCAAGTGCCTGTACATCGACTCCCATTGGCGCTAGAATTATGAAACTTCCACCAATCTTTTTGGTTTTTCATACTCTATCTAATTCTGTTCTTCACGAAACTTATTTTTGAAATTTTACCAAATTTCTTCCAGACTCCTACGTTCCGCCCGTCGATACAGTGGCGGTCACCATAGCCACCACAGCTACTCCGGTTCTCATTTCCATCATCATATCGGTGGATACGGCTACCATCATCATTTCCATCACATGCATCATTCTCATCATTACTATAGCCCCAGTTATTATTATGGATATTACAGTAGCCCGAGTTATTATAACTACTACTATCCTAGCTATTATTATAGCAGTTACGGTAGTTATGGTTACGGTAACTATGGATATGACTATAACAGTAACAGTTATTATGGCTATAATAATTGCCAAAATAATTACTATTATGGATGCTCTTCGAATTATTATTATGGCAGAAAATAAAAAAAAATCCAAAATTTTCTAACCTTTAAAAACCTTTAAAAAACGCGGACGGCTGATTGGCGGCTAATCAGCGGCTGGACACAAAAAGTTTAAAATAAACAGAAAAAATTGTAGACCCAGACAGTCAAAGAAATTCTTTTGTCCACTTTACACTTTCTTTATTGTGTTTTCTTATTCTTCGTCGTCTTCTGAATTTGTTTCTGTTTGTCCTACAACAATGAAATTCTCCATTTTTCCTATATTTTTTATTTTCTTGATTTTTTCCAATATCGAAGTAAATGGATTAAGGTATTTTTTTTAAAAAATAAATTCCCAATATACTTACACAAAATTGTTTAGAATTTTTAGATTTCTAGACCCACTGGGAGGTGAGATATAACCCATTAAAGCTGAGAGAGACGCAAACAGCTAGAGTGCCTCGTTGTCTGCGCTCTCTCACTCTCTCACTCCCTGTAAACTTTGAATAGTTGTAACTCGGGTTCTAGGAAAGCTAGAAACTTGATTTTTTGACTAAAAACATTGACTTTTCAGCATTTTTCTTTATATTCTGAAATATCCCAGATCAATCCGCTCGCCGGCTCGCAAATTCGACCCGAATCGACCAACAATGTCCAATCAGGGACAAAGACTGAGCAATCAGCAGAGAAAAGCCAATGAGGAAGTTGTGAATAGTCAAAGGAATACTGAATTTTTGATCATTCATTGAAAATGTTATATTTTGGAAATATTTTTTGCTTGAATGAAAAATTACCGATTTTCTAAATATTTCTTGAAATTCTGAAATTCCAGAATTTTCCAAACTTGGATTTTTCAACAAATACTTTGAAGAGACCAAAACTTGGGTGGGGTCCAAAAATTCATTGATAACAAAATTAAAGAAGAACTGGTATTTGGTCCATTCGACCAATAAACAAGGAAGTGGGAAATTGAGAAAAAAAAATTATTGGCCGAATTTCGGAATTTTTGGAAATTGGAAATTTGGAGAAGTTAGAAGAAATCAGATAGGGATTATTTTTTAAAAAAATCATTTCAGGTGATTCGGAATATTGCGAAAATCGGAATTATTCAGGAAATTTATTTTCAAAATTTATCATAAAAACATTCCAGAAAAGAATTTTTGAAACATTTAAAATATCAACAAATAATCAAAAATCACATAAAACAATTATTTTCCCCATCCCCATCGTCGTCGCCATCCGCCACCATATCCACCATATCCACCATAGCCACCATAACCGCCATATCTACGTCCCCATCCTCCATAGCCACGTCCCCATCCACCGTAGCCACCGTATCCTCCATATCCACCATATCCGCCATATCCACCATATCCACCGTAACCATAGCCACCATAGCCACCATATCCACCATAGTAGCCATAGCGTTTTTCGCGTTTTTTTCTGGAATTTATTTTTTCAGAATCTTGGAGTTTGGGCAAAAATAGGTTTTTAGAATTTCAGAATTTTAGAGTTCCAACTCACCCATCATTCTTCCAGATTCCAGCATTGGCATGCCCGAAATTCGGATCTACAGATCTGGATTCCACGTGTTTTGGTTCTTGATGTGGTCCGACAGCTTCCAAAATTACTACAAGTGCCAAAAAACATAGAGAATATAAAATTATGGATCTCATGACTTATTTCTGATCTATCTGAGATCCCAGGGATTTTTATACAAAAGAACATTTAGTCAAATTTGGGGAACACCATTGATTTTTTGTTCATTTGACGAATAAAGAAAAAAGAAGACCAATCTAAAGAAGTAATAGAAAAAAAAGTCCAGACAGTTCCTTAAAAGTACAATTCAATTGGAGAATACCCCCGATTTGAGACACAGAAGGAAAAAACAGGGCAGTAGTTTTTGGTAAACTAGAGTGCCAACAAAAGATGGTCTGGAAAATTCCGGAAACTCAAAATTTCTGAAAACTTATTCTATGATGTATCAGGTTAAACAAAAATATTAAATGTTTATTTAAATTCGAATTCAAGGTTTAAAACAAGTAAGAAAAGTTAAGCAGTACATCCGAACGTATCTGTCTCCTGTATAACACCAGGGCGATCACCTAGATGACTGGCTTTGAAAAGGTAGGAGTCGCTGAAAAATTTTGATTAACTATTTGTTTTTGAAGCAAAAATCCAATTCAACTGACCCGTGTGCTATATCAACTTTTGCATCTTCTCCTTTGAATTTTCTCCGCCTGCCGTCGGTATGGCATGTATGACGAATCACGACTTCAAATTCAGCTTTATCATTTCCATCATCGATATCACCTTCCATGAAGTAGGTTACAAACTGAGCAGAGCCAGACCCTTCTCTACAATCTATTTGGTCCGCCTCAAGAAGACCGTCTATTTCCCATAATTTTGCAGACCACTTCCACTCTGTTTTTAATGGACAGTACAGGGACCCGTAGACTCGGTAATGAGATTTCGGACCATCGCAAGGGTAGTTTGAAGAAGAGCCAAAAGGATGAGAACTCGTGCCATGACGACCATTGCTATCCACGATACGAGTCAAGGTCAAGGCTAGGCAATAAAAGGGGGATTCATTCATACAACGGGCACACATCGTACGATGAAAACCATCGATAGTATCGAATTGAGTAGTACCACAGATGTCTATGCACAGCTTTTCGCATGGTACTTCGAAGATCAGTGCCCTAACCAAGGTAACAGGGTTTCAATGAAAACGATTATTTGTACGGAAAGGATTTCAGATTGTTCTTCAGTTTACGATCGTGCAAACAAGGGATGCAAGGAACGTTTATATGACCAACAAGAGTGTGCGAATGGATTGAAGCAATCTATCGACATTTATTGTACAATAGGCAACAGTAAGTGGGAGGGGACCCCTAACTTTTAAATAACAATCACTGAGTTTGTTTTATAGACAGAACAGAATAATTCGAAACACATAAAAATTTTTAGAAGGGGATCGAAAATTTCCTTTTCTTCTTCAGCTTTTGAAAAAAGTTATGCGCCTTTAAACTTCCACCATGTCGGGATGTTTAAAGGCGCATATCTAGCTTCAAAATTGAGATAGAAAAATGAAAATAATGCCATTTTGTAGATAATTTCAAGGGCTTTGAATAAATATAATATTCATTTTGGTTATTCAGATTCAATAATTTGAAATCACGAATTTTAGAGAAACCCATTAAAAATTGCAAGAAAAGGGGACTTTCAGTAATCGGTAAATAGCTGAAAAACTAGGAATTTTCAAAAAGTTCTGTGAATGCAAATTTTTTAATATAGGTCTGTTTTAGACCCTCCACAATTTTTGAAGTGATTGGAAGCCTGACAGCCAAGGTCCAGACTCCTGAAAATGGCTGAAAATCAAAAACCACTACTTTAATATTTTCGAAAATTCCAATACTTTGCCTCCGCCAAACTTTTTAGTCTACATTCGTTTTTCGCAAAAATATTTCCACTTTGTGTGTGTTTTTTATTAATCCATAACTCTTTCTTTCTCTAGTCTCCATCTCCATCTGATTTTATGTTCTTCTTTCTCCATTGAGTGAAAGCATCATTTTCTCTTCTGGTCCTTCCGTTTTTTCATATCTTCAGGATCCCATGGGAGCCCCCTCCTTCTACTCTTTTTCATTTTATCTTCTCATCTTTTTTCTCCTTTTTAGGAACGACGACAACCCGATTTTTTTGTTCCAGAAAGTGTTCAGATTCTATTTTTTCTAAATTTGAAGATTTATAAAATTCTAGATTTTTTTTTCGGCACTTCTATGCTTGCAGATTCTAGAAATCCTTAAAAAATCCTACTAATTTTTGGGGGTTTCTCCAAAAATGGGCGGAGCCAAACCTTTATGCATTTTTGATTTCGAACGAAAAATAATGAGACGGAAATGAAAAATTGAGAGGCTGAGAGCAGTTTGGAGCACAACGACTAGTAGGGGGGTTAAAACACAATTTTTTAAAATTTCCTGAATTTTTGAAAAATCTGAATGATTCTAAAATTAATCTAGAGTTATGAAATTCAAATTTCAAATTGAGTTTTTGTTTCAATTCTCAATTTTTTGATTTTTTTTAACTTCTCAGAAAACCCCTGGTTTTTTTAAAGGTGCGGGGACAGGAGATTTTACGGGGGATTTTTGGGGCCAGAGTATGCATTCTACCGTGACGGTGTACAACGCTTAATGTCACTCTGCGTACAGCTGTCGTCCTCGCCTTTATGTATGCAATCGGGCGACCCCTTTTTTTTTGCCCGTGTAGCTCAGTCGGTAGCGGCGCCGCACCCTCTTCTTCGCCCTCACAAGTTCAACTCCTCGAGGGGCATATTTAAACGAAATTTCGAGAACATTATTTTTTCATGTCCCCCCACCTTTAAAGAGATTTTATAATCCTCTAAAATTTTCCATTAACCCCCAATTTATGGTCGTTTTGGACCTATCAATCTGTCAATCATTTTTTATTTGGTCCCTATTATTTTTGCAATCTTATTTTTCCTTTTTTTGAAGACATCAAAATGATATTTATGGGGTTATGATGAATTTCCCCCCTTTTCCTGCAAAAGTGAGCTATTCTTCCATGGTCCATTGCTCAAAGTGAGTTTTTTAGGATTTTCTGGATTTTTAGAATTTTTTGTTTTTAATTTTTTCCAATTTTCTGAGATTCTAATGTTCTGGTTTTCTGGATTTTTAGAATTTTTTATTTTTAATTTTTTCCAATTTTCTGAGATTCTAATGTTCTGGTTTTCTGGTTTTCTGAATTTCTGAATTTCTGAATTTCCGAATTTCTGAAATCAAGATTTTCTGAATTACTGAATTCCTGAATTTCTGAATTTCTGAATTTCCGAATTTCTGAATTTCTGAATTTCTGAATTTCTGAGTTTCTGAGTTTCTGAGTTTCTGAGTTTCTGAATTTCTGAGTTTCTGAATTTCTGAATTTCTGAATTTCTGAATTTCTGAATATCTGAATTTCTGAATTTCTAAATTTCTGAATTTCTGAATTTCTGAATTTCTGAATTTCTGAATTTCTGAATATCTGAATTTCTGAATTTCTAAATTTCGAATTTCTGAGTTTCTGAATTTCTGAATTTCTGAATTTCTGAAATCCAGATTTTCTGAGAATCTGAACATGTGAGAATCTGAAATTCTAAATTTCTGGTATCGAAATTTCCAGATTTTCTGAAAATTCTGGAATGTTTAAACTTCCTAGAATTTCTGCAAAATCCAAAAAAAGAGAAATTGTGCAAAAACTATTTTTCATCCCAAAAAAAGTTCCAATAAAAAAAAAAGTAACAGAGAAGAGAACTAAAAAAACGCAACCCAAAATTGATGGTTTCCTACGATTAGGGAAGGAAAAAAACCTCAAAAAAGGACACAATACTCTAGTTTTTTACACAAAAAATAGTGTGATGATCTGGTTTTAGAAATATTAAAAATTTTCAAACTAAAGAAAATTCCCTTTTTGAACTACCGTAAAACCTCTAATAGAACGACACCCGGATCGTCCACTTTGGGCTGAATTATCTCACTTCTTTTGAAATATATCAAAAAGTGGTTAACTAGTAAAATGTTTATCAGGATATCAGCAACATTTTACTAGTCAGCCACTTTTTGATATCTTTCACAGAAAATGAGATATATAGGCTCAAAGTGGACGATCCGGGTGTTGTTCTATTAGAGGTTTTACGGTATACCTAATTTCCTCTAATGGAAGCCCACCTATACCGTCCACTTCGAGCTCAATTATCTCGATTTCTGTGAAAGATATCAAAAAGTTATCAACTGAGAAATTGTTTATCATAATATCATCAATATTTTTTTGGTAATTTTTTCCTATTTTGTAAGAACCTTTCATCGGCGGTAATTTAAAATTAGTCTTAAAATTGAAATTTCAAAAAAAACCACTGAATTGTCAATTTGGTTCTAATGCTGGACGTTTTCAATTTTTTAGAAAAAACTTTTTTTTCAAATGTATCTCTGTTTTTTGATCTACCAATGATTTGTCCCAATTGTGTCCCACGTGTCATATAAAAAACAAGGTGGGTGTCTTATGGTGGTTTTTATCCGAAACCATCCATCCAGATGACACATCATCATACATGTATCTTCTAGAAAAATATAATTCCTAATTCAAAGTGTCCACACACACACACAAAAAGAAATTGATGCTCACACGGCACACGACGACTCAGGGGCATGTGTAGCTCTGATCCCAACCGGATGGCTGAGCAATTTCCCTTTTTTCTTTTATTTTCAATTTCGAAATTAGTTCGAAATAGAATAGCCAGTGGTCATTGTTGGAGCATTTCGAATTTTTTATTTTATGAATTTTATTTTTCAGAAATTCAGAAATTCAGAAATTCAGAAATTCAG